AAAAAGAGAGAGAGAGAGAGATATGGCTCGTGGCTGCACATGCGCGCTTTTTTCGTCGGGGCCAGCATTTTTAAAGATTTTTCCTGGCACGGCGGCTCGCAGATTTAAGTCGCCAGGTCGATCTCGTCGATTCCCGAGTGGTGGGAATCGCGTTCTATTCTGGGCAAACAATCGAAAAACTTGCATCGCGATACGGGGGATCAAAACCGGTATAATTTCAATGGGGTCAATCTCCTATGCCGGGAAACAAAAGTCTGGAATACGTCAATCGTCGCGACACTACTCTATCGCGAATAAACACATAGCTCATCTTTCCTCCTTTTAAAACAACATTAAAATTTGGAATTTTGGAGGTTTTTGCCTCATTACGTACACTCGTACGTAATGTCGACGAAGCGTTCGGTAAAATTATATCGAGAAAAAAGGAAAGAGGAATCGTAAAGGCAGGTTTTCGACGAGTCTGGACTCGTTTTGCGTCACGTCGTAAATTAATGATAATTAGAGTTAACAATCGCCGGAGTTGTAATGACGAAGAGGAAACAAAACTGGCGATCGAGCTGATTATTTTTACGCGGATTGCACTGGCTTCCGGCTAGTTCTAACGGCGCCGTAAATTAGGCAAACGAAAAAAAAAACGAGAAGAGCGAGAAAGAAAAGTCGGCCTTCTTCGCCACTTCGTACTGACAAAATCGCGGAATAACTAGAGTGTCGTTGGTCGAAAGTGCGAACTTAATTGAGTAGGTGAAAGCGACTTTGTGGGCTCAAAGTGAAGGCGCTGTCTGCGCGATATGCGTACAATAAAAGAAAATATCGAAGGAGAAAACCCGATCTGTAGTGTTAGATCGACAAGTTTTACACTGGCCGACAGAAACTTGGTGCAAATCCGCAAAGATAAAGACAAAGTGCACCTCGTCAAATACCATATATAAAAGTTTCACTCGTTTTTTTCACTCGTCAAATCGCTCTCGGTGCTCTCGGATCTTCAGTTTCTCGAATTGTTTTCGTGCCAACGCTCCTTAGGATTTTCAGATTTTTAACGTATTGTTCTCTGGTGACGCAAGCAAAACACTGCACGCGCGTGTGCAATTTTCAGCCGTTCGACATCTCTCAAGTTGTAACACAAAATGCGTTCTACATCTCGATACCATCTTGCACATTACATATTATGTAATATATTACACACACGTCGGTGTGTAAAATTCTCGACGGGACGGTGCGATGCATCACGACGCTATTTTAAATGAAGCGGCATTATTCGCTAATTTATGGATCCGCGCGGGCGAAAGAACGGGCGATAATTGTGGTCAAGAACGGCGAGAACGTAATATTCGCGCCATCGTTTTCTTCGCGTTTTTCGCAATAAAAGAGAGAAAAAAAAAGATACGGGGCAATATGCACTTTGCGTGGGAATATAAATTACGAAGCGGCTGGTTTTTGTGATATATCTCAGTGATTGACCGTTCTAAGCACTTTGACTTGGCCATTACGGCAACCATCAAAACGCGATATTGTGTCACGAAAATATCAGTAGGCAACGTGACTTTTACCTCCGATAATACACGTACGTCAGCTCTTATCAGTCGATGTCTACATGTAAGTTTCTCGCTCCCAAAATATAATCCTCATATTTTTGCATCATGCGATTTCTACATTTGAAGAACTTGACGGTAACGTCTGTAGCGGTCGGAGTTAAGAGTTAAAAGCGCGAGGGGGATTGAGGAGGAGAAAGAGGAAGAGGAAGAGGAGGAGCAGAAGGAGGAGGAACGTGGTGGGCATTCATTTGCGAAAGCAAACATCGGCCGCTATTTATCGAATGTCAGAGGAAATACCTGCGGCCCATATTCCTATCGAACCCCGTTCAAGGGACCTCCCTCGCGCGACGGACGTATGTGGGCAGGGGGGGGGGTGATGGCAAAAAACGAAACGGGCGCAACAAAAACATAACTTTCCGCGATGGCGCTCCGAAGAGTGCTCCAGAAACGAGTGGTCCTTTCCTAGTGTTCCATTGGCGTTATTCAGCTCGTCAGATCGAATGTTTGTTTTCAGAAAAATAGACAGAAACGAAATACGCCCGCTGTTAGCTCGAGAGTGTAGTGCACGCATTGACGAAGTCGAAACGTCGGATATATTTTTTTCTTTCGCTATTGTTACCGCGATATTTTTGACGGATGCTCGAATGCACTCGCGGAGTATATTATTTCTGACTTATAAAACAATTCGCGCGTTTCACATCCAAGACCACCGCGGATTTGCGCAAATATCGAAGCGAAACGCGCGCGCGTGAAACCGACGTGTCCTGTCGCGCCGAGTTGCAGCGAGTTAGTAATCGAATCTGATAACGAGCCAATTAAAAACATTTCGCGTTCGCGAGTTTATTTATTTATTACTCTATTTACCGCCGTTGTATTCGCGCGATATTAATTGCTTAAGTAAAAAAAAAAAAAAAAATTGTGTAAAACAACGCACGGTGATACCAGGACGTACAGGTTGCGACTCGAACTCGCTGCATTTTTTTTTATACATTAATGCATAATTTATGAAGTCGGAACAGCCGAGATAAAACATATGAATTGATTATATTATAATTGTATTTATCTATTTATGTATTTAATTCCGATATATTGACATGAGCTGTCTCGCGACATTAAATTATTCGAGTGGAGAGTTATTATTTCCATCGAAATAATAACTAGATTGAAATCAGATGTTACGAATTAAATATGATTTCATTTTTTTTTTGTTTTTTATAGGTCAACTATCTATGCATAATTTATAAAGCCGACACGGCCTGCGGAATATAAGCATTCGTAATTATCGTAGAGCCATTCACAGATTCACACGAGTCGATTTCTACGGCCGCATATATCATTTTGACGCAAAGTTTTTTTAACGCAATTACAGACTAGACATCGCAACTCGTAATCATTTTTGTCATGTTGCAGCATTAATACGTAATTTACAAAGTTAAGCCGGGCGATAAAGCATACGCGTCCATAATTATTGCACGTCCGCAAGTGAATTGAATCGGGTCGATCGCGGATTTTCTACACGCGAGCTCGTTCGTTTGCATTAATTCTTATATTACAAATGATACGGAGCAATGATCGCTCTTTTATCGCCAGAAGTCAAACGATAAACTCGTCGACGCGTTTATTTTCCGAATGCGCGCGCGACGTCGTTCTTTCTCCCCCCTTCTCCCTCCTTTTCTTCTTTCGTTTTCTCTCTCTCTCTCTCTTCT